CTTGGGCCCTTGAGTGGCATACACGGGCACTGGTGGTAGCAAGTCTAGGAAGACCAATCTTTGGGCCCCCAGGTGGCTTGCTCAGGTGTCATCAGTGGCAGTAGTGGTCTAGGGGGGTGGGTGGGTCCTTGTGCCCTTGAGCAGCATGCATGGCATCAGCCATAGCAGTAGTAGTGATGGCCCAACCTTTGGGCCCCCAGGTGGTATGTGTGGGTACCGATAATGGCAGCAGTGGGCTGGGTGGGCCAGTCCCAGGCCCCCAGGTAGCACATGCTGGTGGGTGCTGGTGGAAGTGGTGGCAATAAGGTGGACCATGCCTGTCCTCAGGCTCCAGGGAGCAGTACGTTAACACTAGCAGTGGCAGGTGGGGCTGGTTGATCCCCAGACCCCCAGATGATGTATGCAGGTGCCAGTAGGCTGGATGGGCCTGTTATCAGTTCCCCAGATGGCATGCTAGGGCACTGGCTGCAGGCAGGTTGGGTCTGTCATTAGGGCCCTGATGGTGTGTGCACATGCCAGCAGTGGCAGGCAGGATGGATTAATCCCCAGGCCCATAGACAACATGCACAGGCACTGGCAGGGGCAGCACTGGTGGGTGGACTTGTCCTTAGGCCCTCTGATTGTGCATGCAGGTGCAGGATGTGGTAGGCAGGACAGATCAATCTCCAGACTCTTAGATCAGCTCGGGTACCAACGGCAGTGGTGGGTACACTGGACCTGTCCTCAGGTCCCCAGATGGTGTGCATGGGCACCAGCAGTGGTGGGTGAATCCACCAGCCCCCTGGACAACATGCATGGGAGCTGATGGTGGCAACGAGTAAGCAGGCCTGTTCTCAGCCCCCCTAATAATGCATGTGAATGCTAGATGTATGGGTGGGGCCAATAAATCCCCAAGTCCCCTGGATGGCATACATGGGTGGTGCTGGTGGCAATGAGTGGGGAAGACCTGTCCTCAGGCCCCAGAAAGGCACCTGGACAGTCTGGTCCCGAGGTCCCCTGAAGGCCTATGCAGGTGTGATGGCTCTACTGCTGGGCAGGGCAGGGTTTCTGTCAGCAGCAGCGGCCCCAAGCAGTGGCTCTCAGGCTCTGGGGAGCACACGCTTTGGCTCCCTTTGCTCCAGGATCAGGCTCTCCATTGTGCTGCACTGCCTGTTCTTCAGGGTGTAGGACACTGTGTGGGCTAGAGTGCTGGGGACCCAGCCATACCTTCGGGTTTAGCCAGCATTGTGACAGTGGACATGGGGATGTCAGCAAGGGTCCAGGGCAGTCTGGAGGAGACTGGGCTCTCAAAATCATGCTGCAGCTGCTCGGGTTTCGAGGGGTGAGAAGGACCCAGCGTGAACTCCCTCCTTGGAACAGTTCGGTCATGTGGACTACAAGCTGCTTCCTATTCTAGTCTCAGGGCCCATGAGGGCCAAGGGGCTCTCCCATGGCTAGGACTGCAGGAGTCTGTGGTGGGAATGTGGACCACTGTGGACCTCTCACTTACCTTTCCCTGTATGGGAGTTTCTTTTGGCTCTGAACCAATCCCAGCTGGACAGGCTATTTGCTTCCCTCTCTTTCCATGCCTCAGAGGGTCCCAGTCACTTCCCTACTGAATTCCAGTGTCCTCTCTTAGATGCTCTGTTGGATGTGTGATTATCCACTCACTGTTTTTGCCCCTCCTTGTGGGGGAGGCAAGTGTACCTCTAGTCAACCATTTTGAAGCCCCTGTCTCTGAATGTGTAAAATATTGTTTACAGTTCATGGCTTGTTCTGGGATGCTCACAGATCTCATCCTACATAAATGGTGGGGATAAAAAGATAGCTGTGCAAGGATTCTCTTTCTAGCTTTGATTGGTTCATTGCCCATTACTGGGCAACACACAGGGAGGGGATGTGTGGAGTGTTGGTGGTGTACATGAAACCTCTTGGCTTCCTTATGTCATCATGGTATAGAAGATGGAGAATACGTGGAGAATGTGTCAAAGAAAATCCCTCTCTTCACACCCCTCTGACTACACCATGGACCTAGACTCCTCACAGTGAGCTGAGGTTTGGGTCGGAGTTCATTTCCTCTCTCACTATGCTTCAGTATCTCTTGCTCAGAGAATTGTGGAATGACACAGAGCAGAGGATTTTTAACATTTGTTCATTATCCACTATGTGCAAGCTTTGTATAAGCAATAGGTAGTGTAATCTGCATTTTATAGTTGGGGAAACTGAGACTTGAGGTTAAATCATTTGCCTGAAGACATGCAGCTAATAATTAGTAGACTCAAGACTGGAGCAGGGCTGTCCTTCAGAGCCCATGGTCTTTCCACGATACCAGCAATGGACAGTTATGGCCACATGGACTTCCCTCACATCTACTTTGTCCTTCTTTGGCATTCAGAGAGTACTAGAAGTTGAGAATTGCTATGGACTGAATGTCTGTCCTCCCCTGAAATTCATATGTTGAAACCTAATGTGGTGTTTGAAGGTGGGGCCTTTGGGAGGTGATTAGGTCATGAGGGGGATTTCTTGTGAATGACATTAGTGGCCCCAGAAAAACTCCTCACCCCTTCTGCCAAATAAGGTTACAAGAAGAAGATAGGTGTCTATGAACCAGGATGCGGACCTTCACTAGACACTGACTCAACTGACACCTTGATCTTGGACTTCCCAGCCTCCGACTGTAGTAAGTTATGTACTAACACAGAAATAAATTTGTTCATAGGCCATCCAGTGTATGATATTTTGTTATAGCTGAATGGAGTAAGATAAGAATTCAAACTATTAAAGATCATTGTAGTTGAGAAATGGATGGGTGATTGGGTAGAAATGCTGGTGCAGCTTAAGTCAGGAGAAAACTTCAGGGTCAAAATGGAGGGACTCCTCCCCTCCTACTCAGTGACAGCAAGAGGGGTGGAAGACTCTGGCTTTATGAGCAAGCATTTCAGAAAGCATGCTGACCCTCTTGTGGAAAAGGACACAGAGCCATGTGGACAGAAGCACAGGGACTGTGCTGGAGACCGGGTCACTGCCTCTCCCAGGTCCCTGAGTTTCACTTTGCACAAGATCTCCCTACAACCCTAGACCAACACCTAGGGGCTGAAGGAAAGCCATGGGAGCTCTGTCCTGTGAACACTTTAACTGATACAGCCCACCTCACCCCTGCCCGGAGCCTTACCACACAGAGTGTCCTCTTGGCGAGACGGCGAGATTCAGCTCATTAGTTCCTGCGGCAGCTGCTCTTCATACACTGGGTAGAGGGTGGGGGGAGTTGGGCTGGACCCCTGACATCTGCCACAGCCCCTTCTGCTCTCTGCACTCGCTGGCTGTAGCATGGGGATTCTGAGAAATAGTGCTGCCTTCTGAGCCGCCTTCTGTGCCATCTTCTGTTTCCTCCATCAATCAATACCCCCAGCCTTCTTCTATTTCAGCAATTACTTAACATTTTTGTCCCTGCACTCTTGACAGCCGATATGGATTTTTTGAGGCTCAGTGAAATTTGGGAAGGATAGATAAAAGTGAGCACTCAGTTTGCCATCTCAAGTCATGATCCTGCTTCCACCTTCCTCGGGAAGTTGGCCAGGCAGGGCATCCTTCCCGAGGTGGCTGTGATGCCGGACAACTTCCTGTCTGCATGGCAGGGCTTCTGATGGGATTATTATCTATCGAACCTGTCCTGGCAACACAGCCCTTCTATCAATTAAAACTGAGGGCAGTATTCCAATATATAAAACAAATTACACTGCTGTTTTCTTTTTTAGAATATGTAATTAAGTGAAGAGTAACTAAAACTTTTTTTTTTTTTTTTTGAGACAGAGTCACTCTGTCACTTCAGCTAGATTGCAGTGGTGTGATCATAGTTCACTGCAACCTCAAACTCCTGGGCTCAAGCGATCCTCCCGCCTCAGCCTCCCGAGTAGCTGGGACTAAGAGGTGTGCACCACCACACCCAGCTAATTTTTCTATTTTGGGTAGAGACAGGGTCTCTCACTCTTGCTCAGGCTGGTCTCAAACTCCTGACCTCAAGTGATCCTCCTGCCTTGGCCTCCCAAAGTGCTAGGATTACAGGTTGAGCCACCGCACCTGGTCCTCCTAAAACATTTTTTTAAATAAAAGAAAGGCCTTGGGGAAAAGGTGTTACAGAGCCTTTGGATTCTAGAACTCCCTCCAAATGGCCCAGGGCTGCAGGATTGGCAGCCCAGTCTGGAGCCAGGCAAATCTGCAGAGGCGCCAAGGAGCTCCCGAGGAAAGACTGAGGTCAGAATCCTTCCCAGCTGGGGTGTGATGTGTTAGAAATCTCTCAGATGGATTGACAGCCATGGGTTCTGCTGGCAGACACACCTCAGAGGGGCCTGAAGGTAAGGTGTGTTTACGTCCAACTCCACCCCTACACATACACAAGAAAAAGATTTCATGGTCTAGTTTGAGGAGGGCTAGATTAAACAGCACGGAGATGCTTCTTAAGAGTGTTTGACACACCAGTGTGCGCTGTCGGGCTCGCCCAGAAGGACACACTGGAGTGCACCAAACTTAGGTCCACAGAAGACCATGATCTAGGACCATGACCTAGACCTTTGCCTTCTAAGAAGGCAAAATACAAAACGCTTCTTTCCAAACATCTCAATTAGTGATTCACCTATAATGCAGCTGCACTGTAGCAGGGCTATTCCTCAGTGGTGTCCGCGAGAGAAGCACCGCTTCTGACCAAGCGGAGCGGGATTTTAGCATGAAGCCTCCATGGAAAACAGACCCAGTCCCATGTGTTCACCTTGCTAATGCTTCTGTCTTTCTCCTCGCCTTGGAAAATTTTCTCCTTAGCTTGATTTTTAAAATTTGTGAACCATAGCACCTTATCTCCTTGGAGAACATCTAGTTCCTGTTTCTCCTGAGATGGGGCACGCTGTCCCCACCCCGCCCAAGGCTGAACCAGGGACCTCTGTGCGTCCTTCCTCATCAGAACCTACATCTCTTCCCTCTTCCCCACTCCCCAGCAAAACAATCAAAGCACGTGCCCAGTTTATTTTTATTTGGCGTACGTAGGAAACAGGACCCTATCAAAAGAGAACAGAGAAGAGAAAGGAGCCAAGTGTCGCACAGGGAGCACGCACAGGTCTGCTTCAAGTTCACTCCTAACCCCGACTCCACGGGACGCCCACACACAGGAGCTGGACTCACTCTAAGAGGTGGCCGCGACCCGCCAACAGCACAAAGGAAACGACGACGGCAATGTCCCCAGGAGCAGGACTTCCGCATACAGTTTCAGTGTTCACTGCAGCAGGATTCTAAGTGGGTTCAGGGGACAACAAAATGTATCTGACACAAACATGGGAATGCAAAATCGGTGAGCCCCGCCCATCATTCAGTCACTTGGGCTCATTTGCTATCAAAAAGATGAAGGAAATTTAGTCCTGGACATTTATATGCCTCTTCGGCTGTGTCCGCCCCAATTCCAGGGGCGGCTCTTAGTGTGCCTCTTCATTAAAAACAGCAAAGGGAGAAACTGAAGTTAAAAATGCAAAACGAATGACCTGGAAGAAGAGAAACGTTTTGGACCCGTGTGGTTGTCTCCATTGTAAACAGCAAAAGTTGTGCTTTGTTGTCTCATTTAAATCAAGGCCTGGAGTGTGGGGAGGTCCTGCCGCCGGGGCACGAGGTCAGAGATCACACGAGGATGTCCAGAGACGCCCGTGGCAGCATCTGTGTGCACAAACCGTGCCTCCGAGGCTGCTCCTCTTGTTCCCGAGCATTTCCCTCAGAACTCCCTGGAGCTCTGACTCTACGTCCTTAGAGTAACGTAAGTCCAAGTGGTTACTTTGCCCTCTGCGTTCCTCACCCCCACCCCACATAAACGCCCAGGCAGAGTGTGGACACCAAGCCTCCTGGTCTGGGGAAATAGATGACATTCTGCATCCTCTCGGGGGAGATGTCTTGATGCTCCAGTTCAACGAGTAACAGTTCCTCAAGAGGCTCCGATTAGTTTATTTAAAAAATAAGTGCCCCCCACCCCCTTCTCCACGAAACTACACGTACAGTATTCTAGGCCCCAGGGCCACACAGCTTTCCTCGTAGTATCACACGATACATAGGTCTCAACCTGGGTTTAAATACACATCAACACTACTAACTACGTGGTAGAACAGAACTCCCTGCTAAACGCACCTCTCTGGTCTCTCCCTCTGCTATGAGAGCCCATGAGACCCCCACCAGGGCTGCCTCGAGGGGTGGGGGGTGTAGAAGCCCTCTGGGCCTGAGAACACTGGGGAGGCAGTGACACCAGGGAAGATACACTCCCAGTCTGACCTCGAAGGACCAGACATTACACACTTCTATGAACACTAAAAAGGGGGCAACATTTGTTTTCCAAGTCAGACCAAGAACTCACAAAACACAGTGTCCCAGTTGGGAGCAGGAAGCGATTTCCCCTGAATCTGAATAGCTTTCCTTAGTGATCTTCAGATAACGGCTGACGTCCGGCTCAGCCTGGCTCCGGGCCATCACCTTGCCACGAGAGCGGCTCACTCTGCGCTGCCCTGGCGCAGAGTGAGCTGAGGGAAGCCCGCCACCGGGTGTGAACGTCTTGACAGACAGGTGTCAAGAGGCTGGCTCTCCCCTGAATGTCTCTCAGGCAGCTCTGACGAGAGGAAGACTGACGGGAGGATGGGCCGCAGCGGCTGACCTGCCTCGGCCACGCTGCCAGCTGCGTGCAGTGGGGCTTCCGTCTGCTGGGAGGACGCCCGCCTGGGCCTGGCTCCTCCACGCCACCTGCACCTCCCAGCCCTGCCCTCCTCCTCCTCCTCTGAGTCTCTCTCCTGGGGATATGGTCAGGCCACCCTAAGAACGACAACCCTTGGGGACTGTCACCACACTCTGCCAGAGAGAACAGATCACATCAGAAACAGAAGGAACAGAAGAGGCAGTGTGAATTCAAATACTGTCCTCCATGGAAAACTTGAAAGGGAGCTGTGCTTGCTTTGAAGATATCAAAGAGGAATCTGTCCTCGGTGGCTCATCAGGCCATCCCTAGATGCGAACATCAGTGGGGACAGGAGAAGCCGGTGGGAGGCCCGCCCCCATCTCTCCTCCAGCACGCCGCCGCAGCACCTGCTACTTGGCCTTCACCACCTGTTCGTAGGGGGGCGGGGGCGTGCTGCAGTAGGAAGGAGGGGGTGGGTAGGCCGTGCTCCCCTGGGGTGAGGTGGGTTGGACCTGGAAGGCCATTGCCACGGTGTTCCCGACAGGATTCATCCCCGGTCCTCCCGGGTCAGTGTAATACGGCGGCCCCGGCTGCTGGGCTCCTGAAAGACAGATAATCGTACGTGAGCACAGATGAGAAACCCACCACCATCACACCTGCAGCAGGTCCAGGCTGGAGCGGAAGCAGAAATGCCCCTGTCACCATTCAACTGAAGTGTGTCAAGGACCCAACATGCCCAGTAGAGCAGGGCCCCTGGGGTGTGGTGACAAGCAATGCAACATGCAAGTCTCTGCCTTAGCGGAGCTGCCACTCCTCTAGAACATGTCACACGTTACCCGTGCAACGTCACGGGCCAGGAAACTGGGAAGAACCAGAAAAGCCAGCCTGGTTTTCCAACGTGCAGCTCAGCATTGTCACTGGCAGCATGACAACCCTTTTAAACACAGGTAGCTGGTGCCGAGTTCTGAAGTAAGGTCTCCATCACCTGCCACCCAGATAAGCCCAAGTTCCCAGGCAGGGAGACAACCTCCCAGGGCAAATGACAGTGGCAGGGCTGGAGCTGGTGGGTCTACAGAAGCTCCATGTCCCCCAGATGCTGCCAGAGAGTCTCTTCTCCACGGGTGAGGATCTAAGACGCAGGGTGACACCCCAGCTATGGCCTGGCTGCAGGACAGGGGTCCAGGGAAGGGGAGAGGAGGGAGCAGGCTGGCCACCCTGCCCCAAATCTAGCCCTGAGTTGCTGTTTCAGAGCCTATTTCTTAGGTCTGATTATTCTCATATGGATAACACTACAGAATACTGAATATTTAAATAAAGAATAAAAAAAAAGAAACTGCGAGAGCTCTGGGTGTGTCCCGGATAAAGTTAATTTTGTGAGCAGACTCAGATCTGTCTGGAGTGAAGCCTCATTTAACCCCGGGAGATCCGCGCGTGCCAGAGAAGCTGCCCCTGTGTGAGTATCGTGCAGGGTCTTTTTGGCAAAGCTCCCTCTGACACGGCTCCACTGACAAGCCCCGACTCCTAGGAAGATGCCCGTCAAAGTCTGCACGATGTCCCAACTCCAAGCTGGCCAAGTCAGATCCTGGAAATCTACAGAAGTGCTGAAAGGGAGGAAGAACAGAAACACAGTTCAGACCCGCACCCCAGGCTGTCGGGAGGGGTGGGAGACAGCCTCGCCGACCCGCTGCTGCTCACGCATCTCACCCCGTGTGCTCCGTTCACGAGTTACCCACCAGCCACGGCTGTGAGCTTCAGAGATTGTTTTATTTATATGTGGATCTTGTATTTGTTAGACAATTAAAAAGTCAAAGATTTTTTTAAAAGACACCATTGCAATAGCCTAGACAAGACACGGTAAAGGCCTCTGAGAATTAGAGAAGGAAGGAAAGGGGAGAATGGGGGCGGCTGGGGGTGCATCCCGTGACCCGTCCGGGACTGCTCAGGGGAGAATGCCCGAGACAGGCCTACAAAGAAAGGGTCTGGTTTCTGGTCCCAGAATGGGGGCCGCCTGGCAGGAAAGTGGCCCAGAAGAAGGGTGGGCAGGTGAGGAGGTCCGTGCTGGGAAGGCTCCTGTGGAAAGGTGGCAACAAGCACACAGGTGAACGCGAAACCACCAAGGCGATGTGCAGGGGGAGGAAAGACACCGCTGGGAGAAGGCTGCAGGGAAGGTCGAGGCTGCAGGCAGGAGAACAGCAGGCACTTCAGGCATATGGGAAGGGGGCAGAGTGGTGGGGAAGCAGCAGTGAGAAGCGGTGCTGGGTGTCAGGGCAGCAGAGGGGCAGGAAGCTGTGGTGGCGCTTACTCTCCAGGTCGAAATGGCAGCGGAGAAAGCAATTTGGGCTGTGGGGGAGACGGTACGTGGCGCCAGGGGGGAGCCCAGAGGCACACAGGGATGCCAGCGCCTGAGTGTGTTCACAGGCAGGGACAGACGCGTGGGAACGAGAGGGGTTTGGGGGAGCGTGTGCTCAACAAGGTGGGCATTTGGACTCCGCCGCTGCACACAGACCCTGAAGCGCAGGAAGGCACCAGAGACACCGCACCTGGTGGTGAGAGGGGCGCTGGAGTGTGCAGGAAGAAGGCGCAGGGCACGCACAGCAGGCGGCCGCTACTCCAGGTGGAAGCAGGTGCCGTGTAACTGCTCTGCTGGCCGTGGCGTGGGGAAGCATAAATAGCAGGTTTGAGCAGAGAGACCAAAGTACCCAAGGATGAAGGAGGCGTCCACAGTGGTCCCAGATGGCAACAAAACAAGTCTCAGGGAGTGACAGAGCACACAGGGATGGGACTTAGCTTGGAGAAGATGTTATGCACGGGGGTGGGGGCAGCTGGGAGCAGGGGCCACTAGCACCTACTTCACCCTGCGGCAGGCTTGGCCAGGGAGGAGAGAACCAGTCCTTCGCTTCTGAAGGTTGGCTGTGGAGGGTTCAGTTAGAGAAAGAAAATACGCAGAGCACCCTAGGAAGAGGCTGGAGTTACAGGAAGGCTTTCTCCAGAGGGACAGCTGGGTGGGACCACGGTGGCCACACAGCTGCCTCTTCCATTCCGCGTCCATCAGGCCAGTCTGTGCCATGTGTGTGCTGTGGGGTGGCGCGACATGGGGTGGCAGGGGACGGGGGTGCATGTGTACGCATTCCTGAAGAAGGGCAAGTGCCTTGCCATGGTCACACAGCCGTGCTGGGCAGCGCCAGGACCTGGACCCAGCACGCACGGGGAAGCCAGCCCCCCCACTGTGACAAGCGGGAGGAAGCTCCGGCGAGAGTGGATGGGGGAGCCGACCGGGACACCACAGGCACGCGTTCTGACCGCTGCCCAGGAACGAAAGGCCAGGCCTCCAGGCTTGGCCACTCTTATCCCTGGCATGTCACCTGTCCCCAGATGACGCTGGAGTCCTTTTATTCCTGAATGTCACCACCTCTTTGCTTACTGAGAGTCCTGATGTGGTCTGAGAGGGAGCTCCACACTCAGCCAGGATCGCCGAGAACATGCCAAGGGTGGTAACTGACAGCCGTCCTCTCAGCGGGGTCGCGGGACAGCCGAGCTGCCCTGCTTTCTTCACGGGACCGGGCGCCTCGACCACAGCGCCTGGCTGGTGGCACGTGGAAGGGGAGCTGGGTCGGTCTCTTCCGGGCAGGCAGAGGAACCTGGCTGAGGCCGAACAGAGACGTGTGGCCCATGAGAGACGGGCGGGCACCGGCGGACTGTGCAGCTCCAGCAGGGCTCCCGTTCCCCAGGGTCCCCACGTGTCTGCTGTCAGCCCCTGCCCAAGGGAGCGTGCTCTCCACGCACCCCACTGCCCCGACTGCCCGAGCCCTCACAGCTGAGTCAGAGGCCACGTCCAGATTGCCTCCACCGTCCCCTCGGCCCAGGCTGCTTCCCGAGATGTTGGCAGGTGTCTCAACACGTGACAGCAGACTCGAGGCTCGTCCCTGCCACCCACCCCCTGGCCGGTCCGCCCACCGTTCACCTTCCCACCCACCACAGGAGCAGGCGCCAGGTGCTCTCCTGAGGGGGAAGGGCCCCCAATCAGGTTCCTGCCTGCTTCAGCCTCACTTCCTCGTCTCCCGACAGCAACTGCGGCGCTGTGTCCCGCTCACCCTCCCCAGACAGCACCTCCTGGGCCCTCGGCACGCAGACCACGCCGCCTGGAACGCCCGTCCCCACCTCCACCCAGCCTCCTCCCCAACCTCCCTTCTGGCTAATTCCCATTTATCTTTGAAGTCTCAGCTCAGAATCACCAATCCCAGGAAGCCACATGTCACTGCCTATCACCCCTTCATGGCTAGCGCATGCCGCCATTCTCTCCGCACCCAGAACGAGGCCTGCCTGTCCGCACCACCACTCTCACCACGGTGCCCTACAATTTTCTGAGCTTCCTGCACATGAAGACAGGATCTCATACATCCCAGTGCCCTCAGAGCCCAGAACCACAGCTGGCATGTGGCAGACCGTCTGTAACATGGGAGATGAATGAGGAAGGGGCGAATGGTCATGTGCATTTGAGCTTTGTCTCTGCCATTCTGTGCCGGCTGCAGTGGGCTGCAGTGGGCAGCGTCCTGCAACACACCTGTTTCTGGTATGACAGGAAGCGGTGCCTGACCAGCTGGCCTGTACCAAGCCCTTGCTCCATTGACGGAAGGAGCCCACTCCCCATCTTGGTGGGGGTGGGTGGGAACGTGGTCTTTGTAGCAGAGAGGTGGCTCAGGCTGTGTTTGTGACGTCCCTGCAGCGTGGCCCTCGCTTGGGTGAACGATAGGAAACACTGACCCCGGTGTCCCACGGAATTGGTATTTTCACGTTAACAGTCACAACTCATGTACATTGCCAGGAACTGGCAGGATGGGACTGCAATATTTGAACGTAGAGATGGAGAGATTCTGAATACGAAAGAAAGAGAACAGCGAGGAGGGAACAAAGTATGTCCTTGTCAAATACATAGGTGGAAAAATTGGCAACCACAGGGACGGAACATGCTGGAAAGCCTGTGGGTGAGGCTGAAGCACAGCAGGAACAGAAGTGTGAGTGGCTCCAGGCCAGGTGGAGCCAAGGAGGCAGGAGCCAAAGCAGCTCAGCAGGAGGACGTGGCTCCCGAGGACACACCCACCCCAGACACCTGCTGGAGCTCTGCTCACGTGGTTGAAAGCAAAACTCTTGACCAGACACAGACCACTGTAGAGGACATTTTGTCTGGGAACGGTTCCTTATTGTTTTTATCAAGAACCTGCCTGTGGGCTTGCACGCGAGCCAGGGCGCCCTAACCCTGCAAACAGGAGGGGCTAGAGAGTTCAGATGCAAACATCTGCTCGCCGGAGACGAAAGAACAAGGAACAGGACGTGTTGAGTCGGGACAGTGTGGGAACAAAGAAATTGCAGTGGGACAGTTGCCAAACAGGCTGTGTTATAAATAAAGAAACTGCGGCAGAAAGACGCTGCAGTCTTGTACCGTCTTTGTGTGTCTATGTCTCTTTGTCTCTGTGTTCATTCCTCGTCCCTAGAAATGGGCCACGACAGACCACGGTGGCCACTCGGGCTCCCACAGAGAAGAGAAACTGAGAGAAGACTGAGAGACTCACTGAGGACAAAGAAAGGGTCGCCACACCGCGTGTG